CCTCCTGAACTTCAAGATTCTCCTTTGTATGGACTGATATGCCACTGTGTTGTGAAAACGTTTCCTCAATAGAAGATACCCAAGAGTTAGCACATGTGTCGAATTATCACATGTCGTTCTCTGAACCATTTCATCTGCCAAAAAATCATATATAACATTATTGATTAAAGAGTAATTTAAAATATGAATATATAAACACTAAAAAATTAAAAAATTCCAAGATAATTGTAAAATTTCAATCGTTCTACTTCTAAAACCCAAGCTGACCATTATAAATGATAATGATGAAGGCAATTGTAGTAAAAGTACCACCATAATAGCTAAATGTAATTGCAACGGGTTTTGTATGAGATGATGAATGACTCTCTTTTGTTGGTTTTGCAGTGTATTGGATCAAGAACGAATGAATAGTGGGAGCGACGGAATGTTAGTAGTATTTTTTCAGAGCAAAAATGAGAAGCATAAGAAACTGGAGTTGGAAGGGCGATGGGAACGTATAAGGCGGACGGTATGAATGCTATTATAAAACTTCGATTGAGATGTACAGCCGAGATGTACAGCTTCGTGTAGAGCAGTAACATCAAGGGTCAAAGCTCTACACACAAACGAAAAGTGTCTCAAAGGAAGCTTATATCCTGTAGTCATTTTTTTTCGTGCATTAGAAAGTTAGGGGATAACGCGAGATTCCTTTATCGCAAAACAGGGATCAAAGGGGACGCGGTGCACCGGAAGGTGGATAAAGGCTTAAAAGAGGAAGGAACGAGAATTATTAAGTGATAGGGAAGAGCTAAACCAAGAAGCATAAGGGTGTCCCGAGTAGACGATGAATGGAGATTGAGATTGATCAATTATTAGAATAGGATGTGTAGTCAATGAGTGGTATGAGAGAGTACACAGCTATGGGTGGTGTGAGCCTGGATGTGTACTGATTTCTTTACGAAGAAGCGTATATTCGTTATTGCGAATCTATCATGGTGGTTTGGTAGGTGGGATCTAGGCTATTTCATAGGAGGTGATTTAAATATAGTACGGGTATTGAGTAGCACACCAGGGCGGGTATCTAGACTGCGAACAGTTGCAGAAGGCAATCTTCATTGAAGTCATGGCACTGCCTCGACAAATAACAGTGACGATTAGTGGTTCCCGTATTATCAGATTCATTCTGCGTGGATTGATAGCGCTAGTGAGGTGTGGGATTTTCTAGATAGTGACAGAGGCCTGACTACAAAAATAATAATAATAATAATAATTAGCGGTATTTCTTTCGCCGCACGATCTGAGAAAGGTACCAATATTGCATAACCCCAATCCCTTGTACCTCAACGCACGCAAAATGTATGATAAGGTATTTAAGTTTGCAACGACGTTAAGTATTAGCTTTGAAGATTTTAAGCGAGGGATAAAATACATTTACAAGTTATAATATGGAAACTAATTTCCCAATTTCTTTAATAAAAACATGACAAATTAGAACATACACACCCGAACAGATTTAAACTTTCAACCAGGAATGACCAGCTTTAAATGTTAAAGCCAAACTAAAGAGGAATTTTGTAATTATCTCATAGATCAATATCGCGTAATAAACTAACACCAAGTTTAAAGACGGGCTGAAGTTGCATTATTATGTTATTGGGTTGACGGTTTGAAGTCACTCGAATGAGGAACTCTCAAATTATTTTATCAGAACCAGTATTTAAACATTTCTTCAATAAAAATGACAATCTGGTATCAACACAGTGTTTAACGACTGAAGTCTACCAGAAGAGGCTTTCCGAGGTAATCACACAAACTTAAACAGAGAATGACCCGTGTGAAATTGAGCAGCTGACACCTGCATATACAAACTGTTCCATGACAATTCCTGTATTTATAGCTCTACTCTTTTACACCTACATCAAAGTAACACAAAAGCATTGAAAGTAGGATTATCTCATTAGAGAGAGAGACAGAGACAGAGACAGAAAGATAGATTGAAATCACAAAGCTAGAGTAAGTCATGATTCATGTAAAATCATATTCGCCGAAAGTTTTTTTTTTTTTAAACGTTGGTAATCGTTAGTTAATGTCCCTTAACTGTGACGGAGACAGAGTCCCAGTAGTTAAAAGTATTCGTGTCTGAAGCTCTCTCCACCGAGACGGTGACACCTTCAGGTAAGGTAATTGTGAGAAGAAAGCTGTCTCAATATTAACGGAGGACAAAATACAGTTAATATCAATGCCGTGTAATGATACATGTTCGTGTTACGTTACAAAAAGAGAGCTATGCCTTAATAATACTTTTTTGTTTCTAATGCTGCTTCGATTATTACAAATGTTGTTAACAATATTACATCTTTTATATATCAAAATAATAACCATATCATAAAATTAGTATCGAAAATAATAGAAGAAAGTTTTGTGCTTTTCTTATATCAGGTTATATTCTACCAAATGTGCTATTACACTGATGTCACTATAAAAATGACCTGCGTAGAAGCGTTGTTCTATCTATGACCTTATTGAATTTGTTGTTCTACGTGTGACTTGCATATAACTAATTCTCTAACACCTCGCAGCTACCCCACATACTGGAAGTGGAAACCTGAAGTTTCTATCAGTCATGGATAATAATCCATAACGGGAATAAAAGTAGTCTAATTTTCATATCAGTCTCTCGTACCAAATTTCATTCCACCTCCGACCTACGAACAAGTGTTGTCATTCTACGTTTGACATGTCTACAGCTGGTGTTATTTATACGTGACTAGCGAACACTATTTCTAATTAGATTCGCGCAAACCAGGCCCCACTTTTTCATGCTTAGACGTCAAGCCAGACAATCACCAGATATATAAAAATTGCGGGTGCTCCACAGAATGGTATCAATCACGACAGGAGACCGTGAAATAGACATGGACTCAAAATCAAAAAGAAAATCTTGAGTACGCTCTCAAATTCTTAGGTTCAATAAATTTGTCTCATATTCTTTATTTAATTTTATTATAAGTATTAATCACTTTCCAAAATTAGAAATTGTTTTTGCCTGAAAATATCATTAAGTTTGTAGATCTCAAAATATTAAAAAAAATATTCAAAACCACATTTTTAAAAACACAAAGCAATGGAGGACCGTAAGATTAAAAATTTGGCTGAATATAATAGAATAAATGGGCGGCTTGCTGAAAATTTCCATGAAAAAGATGTATTACACGTCAGCTTTAAGCTTTAAAATTCAGTAATATAGAAACCTCCGCAGAAATTTGAGTAATGTCTCGTATATCAAATATGTTCCAGATACACGCATACATCCACACAAAAGCATACATTTATATATATTCCTACATGAGGGAACACTGGTCATGAAAATAATATTTTCGATCTATGCCTCGATTATCTGCTGAGAAAGTAAGCTGTTGTGTTGGTTATAATTCCAGTTAGTTTATCAGATCTCATCGATAGCAGAAGAAAATCATAAGAATTTGTATCTCATTCATTGGGACAAAAGTTATACTGACATCTTTCATGCATTTTGAGGAATAAGAGCTGTGTTGACTTCCCCAAGAGGGTGAGCTAAGTCCACCAGGTGGAATATTCAAAATAGCCCCCGAAATTAGTGAAACTACTCTCGACTCTAATTTTCCGATGACTGAATTATGTTTTCTTCAAAACATTTTTTTTTTCACGGTCGAAAAAATTAAATTTTGAACTTTGAGTTTCTGATTAGATTTTGTCCTGACTTAATAGTAGAAAGCAAAAAGCCAAAAAATGGATCGTTAATTATAACTTTTTTTTTGCATTCAAAGAAAACTAAGCAATTATTGTAGTATTAAATAGCAGCAACTTTCCTATTGTGATTCATATTAAAGGGCTATCGGCATATGACAGAGTTCATACAAATACGGAGAGCTTCACAAGATTAACTGGAATATTGGCACATAAAATTTTAAATCTGAGTAATAAAACATCGTCAAGCTCAATTAGGGAAGCCAAAACAGCTGACCGAGCAGCAACCATTCGAATAAAATATGGTCCTTTTCCTATTGCTTTATGCTCAGAATCATTAAAAAAAACTCGAGAAACAGCACTGGTTCACTTATTATTATGCAAATACGTATTGGTGTACAAAAGATACAAATTAACCTTTTAGTGATAGGTGGTGATCCATTTGTTTTTAACATTATCAAAAGCAAAGCTTGGTGGAAAAGTTAATTTTCAAGGTCAAAGATTACTACACTGCTTTAGCTACTTTGGGATTCATTTAGAGACTGGCTAAACCTTCCATTACGTTAAGGAGTCAGAAGTGTGAAGACTCACCCGTTTCACAGTAAGATTTTGCAGAGATTTCAAGCTTCCTTATCTGCTTTCATCCTTTTTTCTCTCTTTCGCTCTATCCATACTTTTCTTCTTAGAACTTTGCATCACACACACACCTCTTCTTTTTATCTTTCTCTCGTACAGTTATATTTCAAATTATGTGCGTCTCTAATTCTAACCAATTTTCTGCAGTCTCTTTCTCCTCACAGCGATGACATAAAAAGATAGCGAATTTAGTACCAACTGATTTTGCAAGACATTAGTCATGTCACGGGTGTTGTACTCTTTATTAACGTGATAATTTAGTTCATGGCTGGTAATTTTTATCACTAATTTTATTATTGTTTTATTACATGTTGGAGATTTACTAACCATATTTTATTATACAGATGTCATCTCATTTCGATTTTCCACAAGATATAACAGTAGTTGAGAATTTTGTGAATGTTCACTGTCATCATTATTATCGTTATCTTTTCACGCTCTGTCAGACTTAACAATTGCGTGTAAGTGTCAGCTATGTGGCAAATTCGTGCTTCCGTGAGACGCTCTGACACGAATGACAGCGGGGCGAGAGAGAGTTAGATAGATAGATAGATAGTAGAGAGAGAGAGGGGGTGGGCGTTGACAGAAATGCGGGCCACAGCAAGGAGGATGGGTGACAACATGGAGGATCAGGATTGGTGAGAGCTTGTAAAAGGAGGATGGTGAGAGCATTGAGGGGCCAGGATGGTGAGAGCATGAGAGACCAGGATGGTGAGAGCATAAAAGACCAGGATGGTGAGAGCATAAAAGACCAGGATGGTGAGAGCATAAAAGACCAGGATGGTGAGAGCAGAAAGGGCCAGGATGGTGAGAGCAGAAAGGGCCAGGATGGTGAGAGCAGAAAGGGCCAGGATGGTGAGAGCAGAAAGGGCCAGGATGGTGAGAGCAGAAAGGGCCAGGATGGTGAGAGCAGAAAGGGCCAGGATGGTGAGAGCAGAAGGGCCCGGATGATGTGAGCAGAAAGGGTCAGGATGGTGAGAGGAAAAAGGGCCAGGATGGTGATAGCAGAAAGGTCAAGGATGGTGAGAGCATAAAAGGCCCAGGATGGTGAGAGCATAAAAGGCCAGGATGGTGAGAGCAGGAAGGGCCAGGATGGTGAGAGCAGGAAGGGCCAGGATGGTGAGAGCAGGAAGGGCCAGGATGGGTGTGAGCAGAAAAGGGTCAGGATTTGGGGAGCAGGAAGGGCCAGGATAGAGAGAGCAGGGAAGGTCCAGGATAGAGAGAGCAAGGAGGGCCAGGATAGAGAGAGCAGGGAGGGCCAGGATGGTGAGAGAAGGAAGGGCCAGGATGGTGAGAGCAGGAAGGGCCAGGATGGAGAGAGCAGGAAGGGCCAGGATGGAGAGAGCAGGAAGGGCCAGGATGGAGAGAGCAGGGAAGGGCCAGGATGGTGAGAGCAGGAAGGGCCAGGATGGTAGAGAGCAGGAAGGGCCAGGAATGGTGAGAGCGGAAGGGCCAGGATGGAGAGAGCAGAAAGGGCCAGGATGGCGAGAAAGGGGGGCCCAGGGGGAGAGCGGGAAGGGCCAGGATGGGGGGAAAGGGAAAGATTTGAAAAAAAGGGGCAATTAAAAACAGATGGGAAAACCCGGGGGGGGGAAAAGAAAAATTTTCGGGGGCGGTTTTGGGACAAAGGGCCAAAAACCAAAGGGCCGGGGGAAACGGGCCAGGATGGGTAATTGGGTGGGTAAAAGGGCCTTTGACAGAAAGGGAATTAAAAAAACCTTTAACAAACCATTTTGGGGAAAGCCCGGGAACCATGTGGAAGGGGAAGGGGCCGGGGGAAACAAACCAATTAAAAAAGGGGCAAAGCGGGAAGGGGCGGGGGGAAGGGAGGGGGCCCAAAAGGGGGGAAAAAAACAAACCTGGAAGCAGGAAAACCCCCTAAAAGGGGAACCTTTTTGGGGGGAAATTTAAACAAGCTAAAAAAACCCTAAAAAAACACCCGGGAAAAGAGGGGGTGGCCCAAGGGCCCTATTTTTTTATTTAAAACCCCTTTTACCCTTTTTTTTGGGGTCCTTTAAAAAAAGAAATTTCCTTTTCCCGGGAAAAAAGTTTCCCAAATTTTTTTTTTTTAAAATTTCTGAAAATCCAAAGGAAAAAGCAAACCCCTTTTTAAATCAAACCCCCAATTCCCTTTTTTTTTTTTTTTTTTTTTTTTTTTTTTTTTTTTTTTTTAAATTTTTTTTTTTTTTTTTTTTTTTTTTTTTATTTTTTTTTTTTTTTTTTTTTTTTTTTTTTTTTTTTTTTTTTTTTTTTTTTTTTCCCTTTTACCTTTAAATTTTTTTTGTTGGTTTTTTTTTTTGTTTTTGGTGAGGGGTTGGGGGTTTTTAAAATTTTTTTGGGTTGTCCGGGTTTTTTTTTTTTAAAAAATACGAAGGGGGGGGGGGTTTTTTGGGAAAATTTTTTGGTTTTAAAAACAAATTTTTGTTTAAAACCGGGGAAAAAAAAAAGAAAATTTCCAGAATCCCTTTTAAAAAGGGGGAATTTTTTTCTAATGAAAAATTAAAAAAAATTTTTTATAATTTTTTTAAAATTATTTTAAAATTTTTTATTTTTAAATTTATATAATTATTAATTTTTAAAAATTATTATATATATATATTTTTAATAAAATTTATTTTTTAATAAATTTATTTATATAAAAAATTAAAATTTTTTTATATTTAAATTTTATTTATTAATTAAAATATTATATTTTTTTTTTATATAAAATTATTAAATTATTAAATTTATTATTTTATAATAATTTTAATAAAAAATTATTAATTTTTTAATTATTAAAAATTAAAAATTTAAAATTTTAATATAAATTATATTTTAAAATAAAAAAATTTTTAAATTATTAATATTTTTTTAATTAATTAATTTTTTAAAATATATTTTATAATATAATATATATTTTTATTTATATATATAAAAATTATAATTATTTTTTATTTTTTAAAAATTTAATTTTTTTTTATTTAAATATTTTTAAAATTAATAAATTATTTTTAAATTTTAAATTTAAAAAATATTTTTTTTAAATTAAATTTTTTTTTAATTAAATAAAATTTTTAAATTTTTTAATATAAATAATTAAATTTTTTTTTTTTTTTATTTTAATTAATTAATTTAAAATAAAATATTAATTATTTTTTTTTAAAAATTAAATTTTTAAATAAATTTTTAATTTTAATTATTTTTTTTTAAAATTTTAAAATATTAATTTTTATTATTTAATATAAATAATTTTTTTTTTTATATTTTTAAATTATTTTTTTTAATAATTTTTATAATTTTTATAATTTTTAAATTTTTAAAATTTTATTAAATTATATTAAAAACGGCCCAAAACTTTTTTTTTTTTGGTTAAATTTTAATTTTTTTTTTTTTTTTTTTCCAATATTTTAAATTTAGCCCATTTTTTTTTGAAAAAAAAACAGAACAACGCCCTAACCCCTTTCCTTTTGAACCCTAACCCCCTCGGGGAAAATAATTCACATTCCCAAAATTTTTGGGAAAAAAGCCTTTTTTAAATGTTGCATGCGTTTACTGATTTTGTCGGTTTTGCAATATTCTTAAACCCCCTTCACTTCCCCAAAAAAATAAATATTTTATTTATTTTTTCTTTAGGAAATTTTTAAAATTTTAAATACTTTTTAAATTTTTTTAAAGCCAGTTTTGGGACCCTTTCCCCCAAAGAACCCAAATTTCCTTTTAAGCGAATTTTAAAAACCATTTTGGGTCTTCTTGTTTTTTAAAAAAATAAATTCCGGTTTTGTTTGTTTAAAACTTTGAAATTTTTAAAATTTTTTTTAAAAAGTTTTCCAAAATAATATATTTTCAGGCTTTTAAAAAATCCCAAAAATTAAATTTTTTATTTTTTTTTTTAAAATAAAATCATGTTAATTCCGCTATGGAAGTAAAAATTCCAAAATAAATTTTTAAAAATAAAATTTTTAAAAATTATTATATAAAAAATTTTTTTATTTTTATAAAAACATAATTTTAAATTTTTATTTTTAAATAAAATTTAATTTTTAAATTAATTTTTTTTTAAAATTAATATAAGTAAAAAAATATATATATAATTTTATTATATATTTTTATATAAATATATATATAAATATAATATATATAAAAAATTTTTATAAAAATTTAAAAAAATTTTAATTTTTTAAATAAATTTATTTTTATAAAAATTTTTTTATAATGATTTTTTAAAATATTTAAAAATTAAAAAAATAAAAATTTTTTTAAAATTTTTTTTTTAAAAAAAAAAAAAATGTTTTTTTTTAAAATAATTTTTAAAAAATTTAAATTTTTAAATTTTTGGTAAAATTTTTTTAAATTTTTAATTAAATTTTTAAAAATTTTTTTTTAAATTTTAAAAAAATTTTAAAAATTTTTAATTTTAAAATTTTTAAATTTTTAAAATTTTAAATATTTTTTAAGAAATTTAATATTTATATTATTATATATATATATTTTTATTATATATTAAATTTTATATTATAATTATATAATTAATTTTAAATATATTATATATTATATAATATATTATATTTAATATTATTTAAAAAAAAATTTATATAATATTTTAAATTTATATATATAATAATTTTATATATTATTATTAAATTTTTATTTAATTTTTTTAAAATTTTAATTTTTATAATTTAATTTTTTTTAAAATTTTTATTTTATATATTTTATATATTTATATAATTTATATAAATATATTTATTATTTATATAAAAAAATATTAATATATTTATATTTTTTTATATATATATTTATAATTTATATATTATTTATATATTTATATATTTTTTTTAAAAATATTTATTTTTTAATATTTAAAAATATTTAAATTTTATAAATAAATATTTTTATAAAAATATATATATATTTTTTAAATTTTATTTTTTATATATAATTTTAATATTATATTTTTATTTATAATTTTTATTTTATATTTTTTATAATATAAAATTTTTAATATATTAATTTATATTATAAAAATAATAAAATTTTATATTTTTAATTTTTAATTAATAAAATTTTTAATTTTTAATTTTTATATAATATATTTATATATATTTTTATTATAATATATTTATATATATTTTTTATATTTAAAATTATATAATTTAAATATATATATTATAAAATTTTTATAAAAAATTTATTAAATTTTATAATTATATTTTTTTAAATTTATAATTAAATAATTTATTTATTATAAAAATTTTTTTTTTAAATAAAATTTATTATATTATTAATAAATTTATAATTTAAAATTTTATATTTTATAAAAAAAAAAATAAAAAAAAATTTTTAAAAAAAAAAAAAAAAAAAAAAAAAATTAAAAAAATAAAAAAAAAAAAAAAAAAAAAAAAAAATTTTTTAAAAAAAAAATTTTTTTAAAAAAAAAAAAAAAAAAAAAATTTAAAAAAAAAAAAAAAAAAAAAAAAAAAAAAAAAAAAAAAAAAAAAAAATAAAAAAAAAAAAAAAAAAAAAAAAAAAAAAAAAAAAAATTTAAAAATTTTTTATCAAAAAATAAAATTTTTTAAAAAATAAATTTTAAAAAAAACCAAAATTAACAAAAAATACTTTCCCCAAACACGAAAACAAAACCAATTTAAAATCCTACTTCCTTTAACCAACCCCCAAACCCACCTTTACAAAATCCCAAAACCCATTCCATTTGATTTGGCAGAAAATCCTTTTGTTTCCCGTTTTAAAAAAAAAAACCCTTTAGCCCCTTTCCCCAAACCCCCCCTCCCTTTTCCCACCCTTTACGGGAAATCCAAAAATTTTTTTTAAGGCCCAAGGGGTTTCTGATAAAAGTTAAAAAGTTACTTTTTCCTCCCACCAGAAAAAACATTTGCATTAGGAAACTGTTATTAAATAATGAAAGGAAGATGCTTAAAGATCTCGCTTTC